ATATATATATATATATATATATATATATATATTCATGTATGACTGAAGAATTGTGATGTACACCAGAAATTGACACGACATTGTAAATTGACTGTAACTCAATAAAATAGAAAGAAAAAAAAAGCAAATGTTCCCTGTGAACAAGGTGGAAGTTATATGGCCTTTTACGACCTAACCTTAGAAGTCACATAAGATAAGTTCTGCCATACTCCATTGGTTGAAACAGTTACTAGTCCTATGCCAAGATTCAAGGAGAGGGACAATAGACTCCAACTTTTGATGGAAGGAATGCCAAATAATCTGGAGCCGAATTTTAAAACCATCACACACCTTACTGGTATGTACCTCTTACAATTTCTTTCCCTCCAGCTAGATAAGGCAGTCAATATGTTAGTGACCCTTGTTTGGTTACAATTGTTAAGTACAAAATAACTTTAGAATAGGACCTAAAATGGAAGTCCCCCAGCCTTGTTCCACTCATATTTTTCCTATCTTAAGGATTTCTAAGAAATTAATTTTTACTGAAAAATGTTTAGCATATTTGAATATTTGTCTACACACAGTTATCTGTCTGTGTACTGATTGGGTACTGATATGCAAAGGCACCAGAAAGAATTGGAAATAGGAGAACAAAATAAATGGTGAGGCTAAAAGAATGGATTAGCAGGGTTATAGAACATTGGATTTTACAGTCATGTGTTCTGTGCCTTTGCTTAATTTTGGATTTATAGGGTATGATTTATGATCTCACTGGCAGTCCTAAGCTCTCACAGATCATGTATTGTCAAAACTGGAACACCCTAGAATTATTTTAATCCAAGAGCCTATTTTACAAATTGGGAAACTGAGACAGAAAAATTAAGAGGCTTGGCTAGGTTACCAAACAAGACAGTGGCAGAACTATAAATAGAGCTACCTATACTTTCTTAGCTAATACTGTTTTTTTTAATGTATTTACTCATTAATTAATTAGCCTTGTAGGTTTATACATATTGTACATAAAATCAAAGGAAATACAGTAACATTTCATTTATAATTGCTTTTGGCTCTTGTGATGATGGGAGATAGGCCAAAATCATAAATCCAATGTATGATTTTCCACATTTTCTAAATATTCTGTGATAAATTAGGTAGATATGAGAATATGCAAGAAATTGTTTTTAAAGACTAGTAAAACTGATAATTTTTATGTGTTTTTAGTGCAGATGATTTTTATCTATCTCTAACTAAAGAGTAAACTCTCCTTCTTTCCCCCCAACCAGGGCACACAGACACACATACATTCTTCCCTTCCTCCCTTCCTCCTCTTCTCTTTTATGCCTCTACCCCAGCTTCAGAGTCAGGGTCTACCTTTCCCACCAGGAATCTGAGACTCAGGCATTAGCAGCATGATAGTATCTTGGGCCATATTTTACACTTAGGTGTCTCCCTGTACCTCCCTCATCCTCTCCCATATAGTTGACCTCATCTTTGAGATTAAAGATGCATTTCTAATACTGGACATCAGATGGTAATTAACCCTATCTTCTAAATTGTCTCCAAGGAAAATGTATCCTTTTTGCAAGTAGAAGGAAAAAAATCATTAATTATTATTTTTTAAAATTCAAGTTATAAGATAGTATGTACAGAATTATCCTAGTTTTCTTAAATATACAGTGATAAAATATAATAGCACCTATATAAATGCTGTATATGTCAAGCATTTTTGTGTATGTATATTCATTATTACATTTTATCCTCCCCCAAACCTATGAGGTTGTTGCTTATATTATCCCCCATTTTACAAATAAGAGAATTGGAGGAAAACAAGACTGTGCAACAGATAGGAAGTGGTAGAGCAGGAATTCAAAACCATATAGTCTAGTTCCTAAGTTCATGCTCTTAGTGTCTACTCAGTTTCATTTATTAATAAATCCCAAATCTATATCTCATCTGTTGTTAGAGCTGTTTTTTGTGATAGGCACTGCCTGCCCATTCCACATCTGAATCTCAGTACTATATTTAGGAGTTCTGATTCCCAGGACATAGCACTTTCCACTTAATAAAAATATAAGAAGTACACTTTTTATTCAATCCATAATTTATTGAATATCTACTATGTGCTAGGCAAGCCCTGGAGATATAAAAGACAGTAAGACAGATAAAGCCTTCATATTCTTGTGGAGCTCATGGCTTAATGGGAGGAAACCAGAAGGAGAGTGTGGTAAGTAATGAAGGGGCAATTAGAGCACTGAGTAAGAGGACTTAACCCAGTTGCCAGTGAAGTCATCCAGGAAGAAGCAATGTCTAGGAGGTCAGCTTCTGTTATGACAGCATGAGGAGCTCTGTGGACCTGCTTTCCAGTGAAACTAGTGAAATTTATAAAAACAAAAATTTAAAGTCTTTAGAAATGGTCTTAAGGGCATATATTAAGTAGAAGAACATCTATTTGGGAAAATAGACAAGCTGGGCAGAAGATCAACCAGGAAACAGAAGATTTGAGAACACTATGCACCAACTAGACCTAATAGACATTGAATATGCCACCCAACAGCTGTAGAATGCACATTCTTCTCAAGTGCATGTGGAGCATTCTTCAAAGTAGACCATGTGATAGGCCATAAAACAAGCCTCAATAAAGTTAAAGAATTAGAAATAATATAAGATGCTTCTTTGACTACAGTGGAACAAAATTTCATATCAATAACAAAAAAATTAGGAAACTCACTAATATCTGGAAATTAAGCAAAACACTCTTAAATAGCCAATGCATCAAAGAACAAATCAAAATGGAAATCAGAAAATATTTTGAGAAGAATGAAAAATGAAACAAAACATACAGCATATGAGAACTTATGGCATGGAACTTTGGTATGTTGAAACACAATATACCAAAACCTATGGGGGTGAAGCTAAACTTATTCTTAGACGAAAATATATAGCTGTAAATACCTACATTAAAAAAGAAGAAAGATCTCAAATCAATATCCTAACTTTTTACCTTAAAACACTGGGGACAAGGAGTAAACTAAGAATAAAGCAAGCAGAAGAAAGGAAATAATAATGATTAGAGCAGAAATTAATGAAATGGAGAATGGAAAAAGAATAGAGAAAATTAGTGAAACCAAAGCTGGTTTTTTGAAAAGATCAACAATATTGACAAAGTTTTAGCTAGGTTGATATGAGAGAGAGAGAGGGAGAGAAAGAGAAGAAGAGGGAGGGAGAGAGAGGGAGAGAGAGGGAGGTGTGTCAAGTTACTAGAATCAGAAATGAAAGAGGGGCCAATATTACTGACCTTACAGATATGAAAAAGGATTATAAATGAAATAGCATGAAATATTGCATGCCATTATATTAGATAACAGATGAAATGGACAAATTCCTAGAAAAACATAAACTATCAATACCATCTCAGAAGTAAACAATCTGAATAGACCTATAACCACCTAGAAAGAAAACTCTAGGCCACATAGCTTTACTGCTGAATTCTATCAAACATTTCAAGAATCTTCCAAGAATTCTTCCAAAAAAATAGAAAAGGACAGAACACTTCTCCTCTTATTTTATGAGACCAGTATTGTCCTGATACTAAAACCAGACAAAGATACAAGAAAAAAAAACAGACCAGTATCTCTTATGAATATGGTTGCAAAAATCCCCAATAAAATACTAAGAAAACAAATCTAGCAACATATAAAAAACAATTATACATCATGACCAAGTGGGATTCATCCCAGAATGCAAGGTTGCTTTAACATCCCCAAACCAGGAACTCCTCAGTGTAATAAAAGGTATTACAAAAAACCCTCAGCTGACATTATACTTAATGTTAAAACACTGGATGCTTTGCCCCTAGTAACAGGAACAAGACAAAGATGTGTGCGCTCACCATTTTTATTCAACATTACACTGGATGCTCTATCCAGGACAATTAGGCTAGGAAAAGAAATAAAAGGCATCCATATCAGAAAATAATAAGTAGAACTATCTCTACAGATGATTTGATCTTATATATAGGAAGTCTTATGGAATCCACTGATAAACTAATAGAACTAACAAACAACTTCAGCATGGTTGCAGGATACAAGATCAATATACAAATATCAGTTGTATTTCTCTACATTTGCAATGAACAATCTGAAAAAAATTAAAAAACAATTCTATTTATAATAGTATCAAAAAGAACAAAATGTTTAGAAATAAATTTTATAAGGGAAGTACAAAACTTATACTCTGAAAACTGCAAACCATTATTGAAAGAAATGAAAGAAGATGTAATTAAATGGGAGAAAAATCCCATGTGTATGAACTGAAAATTTTAACGTTGTTAAAATGGCAATACTTCCCAAATTGATCTACAGATTCAGTGCAATCCCTTTCAGAATCTTGGCTGATTTCTTTGTAGAAATTGATAAGCTGATTCTAAAATTCATATGTGAGGGTGGGGATGTAAATAAAATTTGTGTGCATTGCAAGGGACCCTAAATAGCCAAAACAATCTTTGAAAAGAATAATGTAGGAGGACTCATATTTCCTGATTTCAAAATTGCTTCAAAGCAATGGCAATCAAGAAAGTATGATACTGGCACATGATAGACATATAGGTCAATAGGACTGAATTGAGAGTTCAGAAATAAAACCATGTGTCAGCTGATTTCCACAAAGATGCCAAGACCATTCAATGGGGAAAAAAGTAGTCCTTTCACATGTAGTTCTGGAACAACTAGACAGCCACTTGTAAACTAGATATCTACCTAAGAGAAATAAGAACATATGTCCTCACAAAACCTGTACACAAATGTTCATAGTAGCATTATTCATAATAAGCAAAAGATGAAAACAGCCCAAATATCCATCAACGGATTAATGGATAAACAAAACGTAGCATATCCATACAATATTGTTCAGCCATAAAAGGAAATGAAGAAATACATGCTACACAATGGTTGAACCTTGAAAACATATGCTAAGAAGGTAGTCACAAAAGACCACATTTTATATGAGCACATTCTTATGAAATGTTACAGATAAGGAAATCTGTAGAGACAGAAAGTAGATTAGTATTTACTTAGGGCTGGAGGGATAAAGGCATGGGGGAGGGGTCATAGCTAATGTATGGTGTTTCTTTTTGACTTGAAAATGTTCTAAAATTGACTGTGGTGATAGTTGCACATAACTGTGAATAAACTAAAAACCACTGAATTGAACAGTTTAGGTGGGTAAATTGTATGGTAGGTGAATTATATCTCAAAAAAGCTATTTTTAAAAAAAGAAGTAACATTAATTCTGGGATAAATGAGTAGAAGTTATCCAGGCTAAGTGGGTAAGGAGTGGTTAAGAGAATGTTTCAGGTAGGGAAAACTGTGGGAACAAAGATCAGGACTTGAAAGGGCATGGAGCTTTAAGGAATTGATAGGAGTCCATTTAGCACAAATGGTTGTTGGTTGTTGTTGTTACTATTTATTATATACCAACTGTTGCAGAGCAGAGATTAGAAGCAAGGGGCTTTGACCTTAGGCAGGCATTCCATTTAATAGCTGGGTGACCTTGGCCAAGACACTTAATCTCTCTAAGCCTTACTTCCTTTTCAATTAAATCGTAGGTTAATGACATAACATCTGGAAAAAGACTCAGAGCTCATGGAAGGGAAGAAGGGCTCTGCATAAGTCCAAGAAACTTTTTTGACAGTTGCAATTCAAGGATAATAAAATTACGTATTAGGAGAATTTTTTAAAAAATAATTATTTCTTAAACAACCAGATGGCAGGAGGCCTCATCAGATATCAAAATGTCACTTTAAAAGACACAATCCCTCCCCTTTGTGAGCTAAAGGGCTTCATCTTAATATTTGTGTGTGTGTGTGTGTGTGTAATACTGTCCTTCATTTTTCTTTTACTGATGAATATGTAGTACATATGGATCTACCTCATTCTTTTAAACAGATTTTTTACCTACACTGTACTGAAAATATTAAGGGATTGTTTAGGCAAAATATTTGAATAGACATTTCTCAAAGTAAGATGTACAAATGGCCAATAAGCACATGAAGAGATGCTCCATACCCAATTAAATTATCCGGAAAATGATGCAGCTTTTTTGCAATGGCTCTTACAAAACGCTGGTGTCATAATATCAAATAATTGCTTTTGGATACCATTATATGTGAAAAGCCCCCTTCCCACAACCCTTACTCTACCTTATAGAGGGAACAGACCAGCCTTTCTCTTAGCTTTTGCCTTTTCCTTTTATAGAGGCAGTGGTGATTACACGTGTATGGGATCTGGGGCTGACCTTCAAACGTGCACACACTCCTGGCAGTTTCTCAGTGAAAAATTTTACATAAGATTACTCCTGTCCTTAGCATCCTGATAAATCCACTGGTTTTGCTCCTCTACTTCTTTAACTTTGTGTGTCATGGTAGCTATGTCTTACTGTAACTTCAAAGTTCCTCATAGATTATTTACTTTTATGTTCTTAGTTGACGTTCTTTTCATTCAGTTAATTAGGATTCATTCAAAATCCTATGTATTTAGTTTGGGGGGGATTAGGTTTATTTATTTATTTTTAGAGGAGGCACTGGGGATTGAACCTAGAACTTTGTGCATGCTAAACATGCACTCTGCCTCTTGAGCTATATCCTTCCCCCTTCCAAATTTTATGTATTTAAGTAAAAACTAGACAGAGTTATAAATTCCATTTACACTCTACAGTATAATGCATTATCAACTTTATTTAAATTTTAATTATAAAATCAAAATTTGTGATGTTAGGAAAGACTTGCCATGCACATTAAGGTTTATTGCCCGGAAAAAAACTGTTACTACTGGGAGAGGCAATCTACCTTGGGCTCTGAGCATCCCTGCACATTCTTATTGGGTATACCAAGAAGGTAGGGCCCTGACCACTCTTTACATAGACAGGCCATTTCTGAGGGCTGTGTCTGCAGCAAGCAACTTTGAGGGATGAGGTAACGTCTTTTCCAGGACACAGAGCAGGCTTGCTTCTGCTCATGAGTGAATTCTCCAAACTCAGAGTATCTTCCCTAGAATACAGTGCACTGGATATAACACACCCATAGTGGGCTGTGTCACCCTATGGGACTTAAGGATCATGAGGAACTGTACAAACCAATATGAAGTTGTGGTTACTGCTTTTGCCATGAGTAATAATGTCCTTCATTTCTGACCCAGGATTCTGATGTCTCCTGCCATAGCATGAGTTAAACAGTAGCAGGTTAACTTGTTAATTTGTAAGTAGGGTAAAATCTCAAGACTGTATGACAGGTGTTTCATGACATTATCACTAGATCAATTATGCTAGGGCAATGTTTCCCACTAGAATGATTTCTGCCATATCACTATGTACCACCTTTGCTATAAATATTATATTCTACTTCATGTTTGTCTTCCAACTGACTCATTAAATTTGAATACTTTTTGAAAAGGAAATATGGGTACTTTTTTGAAAAAGAAACTTTATAACACCACCTTAAATCTAAACTATCATCTTTTGTGTTAGAGAGTATTCATTTAACACATATTCAAATAAACACATGGACATTACAACTTAAAATATTTGTGGACTATCTAAAATCATCTCCACTTACCACCAGGCCCTTCTACTTTATTCCCAAGTTACCTGATTACATCCAGAGTAGTCATGGCTGGGACAAAGAGTATCACAACCAATATTTTTAGTTAGTGAATTTTGAAGTCTTATATTCTTCCCTTTTAAAAGTTCCCATCAAGCCCTTTTGTGAAGGAAAAAAGGAGGAAAGGAAGTCTAGTGCTCTGACTCGCAATGGGACAGTCATTGTCCTCCAGGTATGTATGGCCAGGACAGTCCAGCCATCAGCCTAGAAGAGTCTGGTGTCTGCTGCAGGCTGGAGCAGAGACGACAAAGTCAGACCACCCTGAAGAGAGGTGAGCCTGGGAGGGGAGACCTTCCACGTCCTGCCCCAGCTCCACACCTCAGAGGGCCAGGGGGCTGGATTCATCCCGTCCCATAAAACTGGCACAGGGAGTCTCTGGACCCTCATCTCGCTTCAGCCAGAATCCAGCCTGACCAGCATCCATCAGGCTGCCATAACCCTGAATAGTCTGGAGATTGTCCCAAAAAGAGCATCACAGAGGAAAAATAAGACACAACTGGCACAGCTGTCGGCCACACATACACATACAGAAACATACATAGTTATGAAGATTTGGATATAAATATAGATGAACAGTAAGTCTTACACAGCACTTCCATGTTTCCAGGTAAGAATGGATATATCTCCCAAATCTGACTTGAAACTCCCTTTAAAATTTACAGTCTAGGGGTATCTTTTGAACTGGTGAGGAGGGCCTGCCACCAGTCTTTTGGGAGATCACTCACCCTAAGGAAATAAGAGACAGAAGATAAAACCAATCTTTAGACTCAGAGAATCAATTCTGACTAAAGCATAGTGTCTGTTACTCAGACTTGTCTTCTGATCCAACCCCCAAACAGACCCACTGTGTCTGAGTCTTAAGGGGAAGAATGGATCTCTGATTAAAATCCCAAAGTTGCTCAAGTATCTATAAGATATCATGGCCCAAGTGGCCCTGCATAACCTAAACTGAAGAGATGGGCATTTTCCCCACTTCTGTAGAGGTCAGTCTGTGGGGGGGCGGTCAGCCCATTGTAGGGGGGCCCAAAAGAAACATGTTGAGCTTCATTATTTGAGATTTCTAGCATATCAGCAATGTTAGGTGCCTGAGAGGTACAGGACCTGGATGGAGGGACATATATACCCAATATACATGGTTATATCAAGGGGAAGAAGATGGAGGGTTGGGCAGGCACAGCAGGAGAGAAAACACAAGGGTGGTACCCACCTAAAAGTTGCCTGAATTTGTTCTTAAGCACAGGTGAGAACTACTTTCTCCAGCCTCCAAAGTATCTAAAACCTCTTGGGAGTTGGGATCCTGCATGGGCAGATGGGGACAAAAGCTGTCAAATAGAGCTCACACCCATTGCCTTATTTGGTCCCCACAAGATCCTTAAGAGATCATTATCTCTATTTTACAGATGAGAGAAGATGTAAAATTTATTCTTCTAGCTAAGCGGTCTGGTGGTAATTTGAATTTACATTTGCTTCTAAAATTCTGCCAATAAATATTATGTGTCCCAATGCCTTTAGAAATACACTAAGTGCTGTTGGTTACTTCTTTTTTGTTATAAAATTTTTATTATTTCTAACAATGTGTGTACATTCTAGGAATAAGGAAAAATACAAATAAGCTGAATTAAAAAATCACTCATAATCCTACCACTGATTGTACTTTTTGTCTTTCATCCTTCACATGTTCTTCTGTGCATATATGTAATATACAAATGTACTCTCCCCTTTCAAAAATATGATATTCACATATTACTTAGTAATCTTTTTTTCATTTTATATCTATTCAGGAACCTCTTTTTGTACAAATGAGTAGATTTCTCCTATGAAAAGGCAGAGATTTGTAGATTGGTTTGAAATACAAGAAACAATGAGACGCATCTAAAGCCACTAATAGCAACAAGTTAAAAGTAGAAAGATGGCCAAAGGTAAATCAAGAGGACGCAAATCAAAAGTAACGTTAACATCAGAAAAAAGAAAAATCAAGGTAAACTACATTAAATAGGGGTAAGGATGATTTCGATTAACCTTCCAACGCATCACGATAAG